TCTTTCAAGACTACTTTGCTATATTTAGAAGAGATGGGAAATAGGGAAGGAGAGAAATTAGTGGGGAGAGAGGCTAAGAGGTAAGCAATGACTGGTGCCTTCAATCAGGGAAGAGATGTGTTTATATAAACAAATGCAAAGCCATTAGGTGAAATAAATCAAATAATAAATATTAAGGAAAACATGGAACAAGTCGTATTTGTGTTTTATTACTTTTATCTAATATTGAGTCAGATTATGAAAGAGTATGATATATGACTTCTACTTTATTCCAATGTCTATAGTAACTAAATTAACTGAGTTTTAACAGATGCTTTCAAAGTACGAATTATTTTCACATATTTTTTTAATCACAAAGTGAACTGCAGGTACAGATATCCTGTTCTACTATCTTTTAACATATGTGGCATTTTGATGAGATAAACTACATGGTTTCTCATCACTGAGCAGGACTTACCATAGGATGCTATCATTTTGGATCTACTTCTCACAAATATAATCCCCAGTGTCCAACATAAGCTCTTAAAAATATTTTCTTCAGATTTAAAATGTACACTAATCCTAAACCATGATTTTTAAAAAAAATATGTATTCTAAAACAGATAGATTTATGTATCTAAATATGTATTCTAAAACAGATAGATTTTATAAATTCTTATGGTTCAATTCAGGTCAAAAATATTTACTAAGAGCCTTCTTGTATAAATTAATGTGTTTCATAATAAAAAGTAGTATGCAGCCCAAAACTTCATGAATTCATGGTCTTTTGGGTGAGACTAAAGTAACATTACAAGAAAGGACAAAATATGGCTGCATTTAAAGAGTCTGCACAGTATGGTCATGCTTACTTTTACGTAAAAGAAACGAAAATAAAAACCTTATTGCCTTATTTTTGCACTCAGAGATCACAGCCTAATAGCCAACTCCCTACTTAAATACTCTAAAGCAAAGCCTACCGGTCAAAATTTCCTGCCTGTGTTCTTAGAAACTTTAGTCAGAATTCCTATTGGTGGGTAAGACTTAGCATGAAAGGTAGCAGAGACTAGCAAGCTAATTCTCAAACACTGATGAATTTAGAAATAGTGGCATAAGCAAATTAACACCTGACAAAGGCAATTACTAGAATAACCAGAGAATATAATTCTGGAACGCTGAAGAGAGAGGGTATGGATGTGACATAACTCTTTATCTTTTATATAGGGGAATCAATAGATATTGTCTAGAATTGATGTATTGAGAAACAGAGCTTCATTATGTTATTCAGAGTCACGAAGAGGGCCATTAGAGCAATTAGAAATAGAAATTATTAGAAGACTCAGCTGAGGAATAGGAGAATAGAGGGGGTAGGGCAGATAACCATTGCTTTAAATTGATTTAAATCGTAAGCTATTCTGTGTTATTTTCTGGGTTATCACATGCATATTTTACTTTGGTAAAAAATACAAAACTTATCCTAATTAAAAATATTTTTCCTTATGAACAACGAACTCTTCTTTCTTTAATGCACTTGCTTTACACACTATTTTTGACTTTTAAATTACTTCATTTGAATGTCTGCCAATCCTGTGTATTTTGGATTTCTAATTGCTCTGAGGAAAAACAGATATGTGTTAACTGGATCAAAAATCTAAAATGTATTAATCTGTCCTTACTGTGTGACAGTAACAGCCACAGAACCAAATGTTTTAAATAAGTTATTTACTATAACTCTCTCAATAACTTTACAAATTACACAATATTATCTCATACTTAAATATACAAAATAAATAAATTGAATGAGGTTACATAGCTGGCACAGGTTTTTTTTCTGTTTTTAAATCATTGTTTAGAATTAAATATACCTAGTTCTAAAACGCAGGCCTTTTTTTCCCCTTCTAATATACTAGAAATGATCAGTTGTAGTCTATTTTTAACATAAGTCTATATTAATTTTTTTCCAATACCTTGAAGCATACACTGGATAACGTTTGATTTCCATCTTATGTTGGCACTATGGTTAAAAATCAAATGATATCCAACTTAATTGATGGTAAAATTTTTTCTCTCTTAAGAAATTTAAAAATATTGAACTCCTGTGCTATTTTCAGGAGTAAATATGCATATACAAAATAACATTGATAAATTAGATTTAATTAATATTAAAATGACAAAAATATACTAGTGCAACTAAAATATAACATGCAAGGCATGTTTTCTAGTGCTATGCTTCTTTTGGAACATGGTATTGAAAATCACAGATATTAATATGCCAGTATTTGCTAGGAACTTTACTAGGCCCTCCATATATGTTGTGTTTATTGCGTCTTCACAATAACCTAGTGAAATAAAACTATTATACAGTTTTAGAGATTTAGAAATCAAGGCTCAGCTTGCCTGAGGTCATAGGTACATTGAGAAGATTTGAAACTCAGGTCTATTCTTCTCTTCATAGTCTGTAGATACTACTATTTAACCAACATGGAATATACTAAATTGGGCTATAATTGATTCCATGATATATTTTTGGTTTAGAAGAATTTGTTTGTGTGTAGTACAGAATATTCTATGCTGATACTGACATTGCTATGACTTACTAATACAGAAATTATTGCAAAGGAACAGGGTTATTTTAGGCAGGTACATTCCTAGTAAATGCATGCTATACTCTGGTACACTTGTCTTTCCACCTAAGTAACTGAAAGCCATCTATTTAATCATTTATCTTAATGTTTAACACCTATCATTTTGATCAATAATTTTCTGTATCCTTTGAGTTTTCTCCATCAGGATTTTGGTTATTGTTTAATCCTTGGAAATTTCCATGGTTTCTTAATGATTATTGACATAAAATTTAGAAGTGCTTTTCTAGGTTTAGTGTGTTTGACAATAAACAGATTTTTGTATGGGTCTAAATCCTAAGATAATATAATCACTCTTTATCTTAAATTTTTTTAATCTTCCACATCATCATTTTTTTTTCTCCTTGAGATACTTAACTTCAAAGTAATTATTTCTCTTTTTATTCTCTTTATCTTCCGATAGATAAAACCACCAATTCGAGAATTAGCCAGCTGTTCTAATAGCAGAATGACAACTTAGTAGAAATCTACCTTTTCTTGGAAGTAAAAAATTTCAATATTTCCTATTTTAGAGATGAGAGATAATAAGCCTAGAGAAGTTAAATATTTTGTGTTTAAGTTAGAAGTCATACACATATAATTCTAATACATGGATATATTATATAATTAGGAAAAATTCCCATATGTATCAGACACCAAAAATCCATATTTAACTATCAGATCAGAGTTGTTGGTTTTTTCTCTCACTGAAATTTATAGTAAGAAATAAGCTTTATATCATCATAAACATACACGTAAATACTTACATGCACACACACACGAGTATATGTATAGCTATGGTATTTTGTTTATCTCTATGTATATAACTGAATAAAGTTCTACAAAATAAGGTTTATCCTGTGTTCTTTGAATGATAATGTTTTCTCTACTTTTTCTTTATTTTTATTAAACTTCATATCGATTATAAAAATGCTGGTCATGACCCAGCGAATTGATTTTATGACTCACTGGTGGTGAACTGCCCTAGGTGATATCCCCGTGTCAATTTTGTACAATGGATAGAAGCATTCACCTGACTAGGAAGTCTGTGATAACTTTCCACAGTGATATCATTGTTTCTTTCTCCTTACTGAACTTTTTTTTTTTTCCACTGAATCTCTAATCTCATAAATATAGTTATATATAAGCACATGATTTTTGAGCATTCAGTATTATTTTTTCTAATAAAATTATTTTATATAGTTATACTATCCATCTCCAATAGATTGAAATTAAAATTTCCATAGTCTACACTTAAACTCTCTTTTAGGATGTCCCGTTTCTCATTAAAATAATTTCTACACCTCTCTGTGTTTGACTTTGTTTAACACTCATATACAGGTTTTTGGAATGGACACAAGTTAGCAGTTCCATGAAGTAGTAAACTTATCCTTGGTTTGAAAAATCCTCCAAGAGTTTACCCAGAAATACATATTCACGAAATTAAGAACCATTGTTATCAAAACCTGTTTCATCATTAATTGGGGACTCCCACAGTTTTCCTTTTGTGTCCAGTGGATGATCACTTCAAAACCATTCCATAAAGGCTGTTCATGTCCTGCAGCTAATTGCTTAGCAAATGCCACACCCCAAGTGAAGGTGATGTCTCTGTTTCAGGTGTTTCTCTGGTAACTGCCTTAATCTCAAAAATATTGTCTCTTTCTCTTGAATGTCTTTTCCCTAACACTTTTTCTAAGATCAGAGGTCCCCTCCTGGCTATGATCATTGTCAGATCCTTCATCAAACTGGTTCTGATGCATTGATCTTTTACTAACTCCAGCTGTAGCAGATCTGGCAACTTTCATATCTGATATTATGTTTCTGAAACTAGTTTAAGGTCTTTCCCCACCTCTCTGAGTCCTTGAGTCTTCCTCATGATACTGGAGCTGCCTGAACAACTCTGACTTGGTTATTGCTTTTAGATAACCTAATTCTTAGGAGACATATGTGTTTTTCTATATCGTTATTTCAGATAAAAAATTATCACCAATTCTTGATAATATTTAAGTTATTGTATTTATCTACTTTTGCTGAAATATCAGTTTCAGTGTGTTAGTTCCTCACTTATTCAGCCAGTATTTTCGGAGCACCTAATGATTTCAGGCAATCTTCTAAGTCCTGAACACAAATGAACAGAACGGGCGATATTGCTGCTCTTAGAGAGCTCACCTGCTGCCACGTGCACATTGCTTTAGAGATACCTGGGAACGTAAGCACTTTCCCCAAAACTATGTCTTTATTGACTCCAATTTTAAAATTCTTAATAAAATCTCTATATTTCTATACTACATTTGTAGGCTGTATGTTAAATGGTTGATTTTTCAAAATTAAAGAAATGACTAAACATTTATTGATTCTTTATAATAATAAAAAACTCAGCAAACAAAAATATATGTTTCTTACCATGACAACTTGGTAACGCTCTATTCCATCCGGGTCTTCCATCATCTCCCATGATACAGGTGAGTGTCGAGTAGCCTTGAAGAACATAACCAGCATCACAGTAATAGGTGACTGTTGACCCTAATTTATAATCCATTCCAAGTCTGGTGCCATTCATTATATTGCCTGGATCGAAGCAGGACTCTCTGAGTTTTGCTGTAAAACAGTGTTGATATTAAATGAATTGTTTTAAAGTACTGTTTGAAACCTTTAAGATTTATTAATTTCTACCTCTAAATGGAAAGGGAAACAGCAGCATCCTTTCTGATTCTGTCTGAGTGCTCGAAATACAAAGTAGCCCTTAATCATATCTAACATTTTGCTAATTCTTATTGATTAGTAGGAGAATAAAATTCTTCACTGGCATTCTCACTAAAATTAGTATTTAACATATACAGCCAAATGAATGGTTTTATTATAAAAATAAGTAGGACTTATTTTCTTATTTAATATTTCTTTATTTAAAAGATCTCCCACCAAATAATGTATACCAATTCCATGTGACTGAACCAAGAAATGATACTACTGCCTATGTTGAGCTCGATTCATTTAATCACTAAGAGGAAAGTAAAACACACTTGCTCTGCCTTGAAAACATATTTCTTAACCTATCTGCTCTAGTCATTCCCCACATTTCTATGAAATAGCAACAAAATCTTTATAAAATTCAAACCAATATCTTTTTGGACAGACAGTCTCTGTAAAAGCCAAGCACTTTCAAAGCTAATAGTACCTGACAAATGGAAAAGCAAAGTCCATTCACAACAAAAGAACTGTTTTCCGTGGACCCAGACAGTGATCTAAAGAGACTGACAGAACATTTTGAAAATAGAGAAATAGAAAAACTAGTTCATCCATTTTGGGAATAGGCACTAGAATACTTTGTTGTTAACAGATTTGGGTAATACTTTAATATTTCCATTTTAATATATAATAAAACTTCCATTTTATTATACATTACTTAAAAAAAAATAATAGAGAAATGCGCAATGTAAGGACCATTACAAATTTAGGATAACAAATGTGATTTTCTACATTAGAATTTATCTTATGTTAAGAGGATGTCAGAAGGTAGGTGTATCTCTAGATATGACTCATGGCATCACTGGAATTTAAGTCAACAATATCTTGGTGTTGGCTATTACAGAAATTATAGTACTCTAACATATATAAATCTAATTAATTGCAACAGTAATGATTTATTTTTTCCCATTCATAAAAGTTTGCAGAGTTCAAAGTACTTCAATAAGTATAGACAATAATGAGAAATTTGTGCTTCAGGAAGAACACTATAAAGGAATTCAACTAAAGAGGAAATGGTGGAACCAAACATTTAAATGATTTCAATAGACTATCAGAGGATTAAAGGCCATTTTCCTTCCTTTTGTCCAGCAAATACTTAAGAGCCCATTATTTAATTAACTCTGGAAATATAGCAGTAGACAATCAAAATACGCTAGCCCTCATGGCATTTAAGTCTATAAAGAATTATATTAAATAAATACTTGTAATTGTGATGAGCACTGCAAAAGGGGAAGCATTCAGGAAACTTTCTGAAGAATTGCATGTAAGCTGAGCACTGACAGATAATGAGCTGGCCAGGTGAAGGAGAGATGAAGGGCAAGATCGGGAAAAAGTGTGTTGGAGTGTGCTAGTCAGATAAATTGCATTCCTGAATTTCAGTACAAAGTTAAATAACTTGATCTTCTCTCAAGTACATGTGTCTGTGTACACACACATGCGTGTGCACCCATACAAAATTTGCACCCCATCTATTTATATTCAGACTTCACTATAAAAACTGGTTCCCATTCCAAGAAACTATATTTCTTCCCAGATAAAATATTCACGCAACTTATTTTCAGGAAAGAACCAGCAGGGTGAATACTAAATTTAGTCACGAAGAATGGGGCCTTAGTGCTGCAGGGATTGGTTTGTTTATTTTTAAGAATAAAACCTCACACTGAGTATTTCCTTAAATAAGCAGGAAAACACAATGTAATTTTTAGTCAGAACAGCAGTCAAGCATTTATAGCTGGCCTTTATGAAACTGAGCTAAATCTCTTGAGGGAAAAGGAAGGATTGAAATTATTGTTCAAAAGCATTAATCTCTTTGACAAGTCTAACAGTCGAATATTCATTTTTTCTAAGTTTGCTTTATCCTTCTTCAAAGTTTTCACAAAAGTTTCAGTGACATATCAGTGAACCTATAGTTCAAACATTCTTCTTTCTGAGGAAAAGAAAATATAGCTAACAAATTTAAAACACTGCCTGTACAACAGTTTTATATTGCTAGCCTCATTTTAGAGGATCTATTTATCTCATTTGTTATGTTTACATATACTTTAAACCCTTGGTGAATAGCTTTCTATGAATAATACTGCCCTGTATGCCATAACAGCTACATGAGAATCCTTATATAAAGTTTTAAGCAGTAGACGTAAAGATGACATTAGTTTTTTTTTTTTAATTGTGAAACAGAAGTTGATAGCATTATTTTTTTATGAATAATTAGTTTTATTTGCTTTAATAGTAGTTTGCTTACTGAATAGACCCAAGATAAAAAAAGTTGTTTGCCTTATATTTTCCAAATAAAGTATATTAGAAGGTGTCTGCTGGGAGATGGAAGTGAGCGTAAGCAATAAAGCTTATATCTTACTTATGGCTTTTTTTCATTTTTATAAAATGTATTTCAGAATTTTTCCACAAGAATTTCAAATATTTAAATGCTTATTTTAATGAAAAAGTTTGACATTTGAGAGCTGAAAAATGTACTTTGAAGATAATTCAGTTGGAAAAATTAAAGCTTTACTATGCTTTTGTTTACATTTTATTCATGAAGACATACAGCTGTTGATATACATAAGTATAATATCTATATCATTATAAAGTTTTTATCATACTTTGCACCAGACACAGCAATAATTAAATAATGTTTGCTTAATTCATGCTTAATTATTGATTTATAAATCATTTTTTTCTGGGCTAATAAGAACCATAAATATATTTATTGATAATAAAATTTTCCTTCAAAGTTTATTCCCATAAATTTTGTATATAGGCATACATTCATGAAGGGACCATTATTATGAATAATTTCATTCTGTGGATGTTCACAATTAGTTACATATTATTTTTGTTTTTTGAGAGGTGAGTAAAGTATGTAATATCCAAGTGCCTATTATTTCCAGAATAGTGAACTTGTGTGGATAGGCATAAACCTGTTAGCATGAGTTCAACAACTAAAAAGTAAGTTCCTTTCAAGTTTTGTATGAACTGGAGTCGCCTCATCTGATCATGATCAGTCCCAAGAGGTCCTCCTTATTGGAAAACCCGGAATTCACACAGGGCCCGATCTCCCAGGGTGCTTTCTGAGAATAAATATAAACCATACATATAGCTCTTTTATTTTGGAAAATATTGCTGCCATGGATATTAAATGATTGCCCCCAGAATATGTCAGGGTAAAGTTGAAATGTAATAGGTTGCTCTATATCTTACCTTAAACATATATGTTAATTTAGAAAGTAACACGATACTTTTAAAGTTCTTGGCTAACCTATACCACATATAAACTACGGTTCATAAGTTATCCATTGTACATACTGCTGCCTACAAATTGACATCCTCTGTCAATTAAAGCACCAACTAGCTGCCAGGAGGACCCCTTCTGAAGCACAAAACTATATATATTCTTTCTCCTCCACCAAAATTAACATATTTTGTTAAAAGAATACAAATATTCTTTTATTTGTATTCACTACTACATGAGTCATATGTATATAACTATTATAATTATAAATATTTAAGACATACTTATCAACATTATAATCTAAAATGCTCTTAATATCAAAACAATGCAAATGAGAGCACTGCTTATACTCTAAATATTTATTCATTTGTAAATATGTTAATATTGTATCACACCGAAATTACAAGAAGGTAAATGGAGACTAGGCCTGATTTAAACTCTTTGGGACATCGCTTCCAAATTAGCAAAACATCTTCCCCTTGTTAGGTAGCTAGTCAGACAGGAATAGGGGCCCAGCACAGAGACTGCCCAAAGAACACCCTACTGGTGAATAGAAAATCCCTCCGGCATCTCCAGAGACAAAAGACAGGAGGGCCATAATCTATACCTGTTTAATCTGGCCACAGATGCCAGTGCAGAAGGTACTACCCTAATGTGTCCACAATCTAATGCTCATTATACTGTCATTATAATACTATGGTTATGCCTGGAAGTCCATGTATAATAAAGGACAAAGGGAATAGTTTTATTATCCAGGACCTCCATCCAGGCATGTGTCATTTTGGGGGTGTATATTTTATTTTGAAAATTCTGAAATATTTGTCTGTGTATGCCAAAGGTAAACATAAAGACTATTTTACTTTATTAACTTTAAGAGACTAGATAATTAAAAAGGTAAAAATTTTTGAAATAAGTATAAGAAATAAGGAGGCTGATAAAAGACAAACCTTAGAGACACTAAAGTGGGGGATGTAATTTTCCCATGAAATAGGGTTTTTAGGACCAGTCCAGAATAATTAAATAGATTGGATTAGAGGAATACCATGAACTCATTACTAACATTGTAAAGAAATACCATCTGGAGAATAAAAGGCCTTGTGGTGAAACTGTCTAAATGGTTGTTGGCATAGTAGCTGAGGATGGTGAGGATTAATGGTAGGGTCCAAAATAGGACCTTAGTTCATAAAACGATTATGTATTTTTCTCTGCCTGTACTCTTTTATTTTTATTTGCCCTTAGTTGTATTGGTAATAATAATTTATATCATCTTGTACAACCTATTTTAACAATCTGATCCTTAATTTTATCATTTGTAAAACAGCAATATTTCTCTCATAAGGTGTTAGTTTAATATTTTTGTTGCATTTATAAGTGCACTCGCTCATGGGAAGGACAGAGATAATGCATTAAAAAGAGCTAATCATAGTATCTAGAATAGAGTAAGTACATAATAATATTTCTTTTTAAAATTTTTGCATTAGTGGTCCTTTTCCTATGGCAGCATAAATTTTAGTTGGAAATAATGGGACATGGAAATATATCAAACTGAGAAATAGGAAGGAACATGCATTTAGCTGAAATGGCTAGTAGGTTTATCTCAAGTACTTATTACATGGATTTAGTA